TTCTTCTTCTTCTTCTTCTTCTTCTTCTTCTTCTTCTTCTTCTTCTTCTTCTCCTCTTCCCAGCCCTTGTACATTTTTTTTTTACATTCTCATAACAAATAATTTGATTGTTAGGAAGGCGTCAACAGAGGTGTTTGGAGATGCGGTGGCTTCTGGATCCCTGCTCGCAGATCCGTCATCTCTATGGATCTGGAAGGGTCGTCGGCCCTCTTCATCAGGCCTCAACCCCTTCAAACTTTCAATCAATCATGTTCGTCCATTTGAAGAAGATCGCCAAGGTCAAGAGCTCGTACAAGATTTCGGTCGTCGCAACAACCTCGATTCCTCCAAAGAAACGGCGGCCGGAAAAAAACCGACGATCCATAAATCGATCATGGAGAAGGCGAAGAAGATGACGAAGAGGCTGAGCGAGGAATATCTTCCGGAGGATGATTTCCTAAATTATCGTCGGCGTCGTCTAAAGATGGTTTCGGCGTCGCCATAATCGGGGGAGATGATTGGTTGGTTGCAGGAAAATTGGATTTTGCTTTGATTTTTTAAGGTATTGGACTGTGTATAGATTAGTTAGTACGTTGAAATTCGCAGATTTTGGATTAGAGTATATGTATAGCATATGTACAGTATAGGTTCACGACAGTATGTGTTGAGTGTATAGGCATGCAGTGTATGTTCACAGCTGTATATGTTGCGTGTATAGACAGACAGTATATGTGGTGTGTATAGGGAGTATATGTTCAGGATAATAGAAGATTTTTTTGTAAACTGTTTGGTATATCTTTCATGCATATGGAGTATATACTATTAGAAGATTTCTTTGTATAGGGAATATATGTAACCAGTAGCTACTACTGTGGACAATTATGGCACAATTTGTCCATGCTTTGGTTGTTTCGTAGACGCCGTTGCCGTCTCGCCGCTGCTGTCTCGCTCCCCGACGTTTTCTCCAGCTGAGACAACAACATGTACTAAATATATACAAAATATTAAGAGAATATAATCACATATACTAAATATAAACTCAATATATAATGTTCATTCAAGACATGAAAATTTATACTCTCTTTTATACTCAACATATACTTCGTGATCGTTGTAAGCTGCAATTTTTACGAAAATAAAACGCAAACGCAAATGCAAAATATACTACAAAATATTCAGAAACTGAATTTTTTTTTTTTTTGTGTGTGTGTATATGTATATTTATATTTTATTTGATGTTTATTTATAGTTTATGTTTGGTCTATTATCAGATTTCTAGTTCATTTTTCAATGTTTATTTGATTTTATTTATAGTTTATGTTTTGTATATTAACATATTTTTTGTGTGAATCTGTTTGGAACATAAAGGTGATTCTAATTCTTAATATTTATTTATAATTTTTTTATTCTTGTATTTGTTTATATTTTGTAAACCTATAATAAAGTGAAAATAAACTAGATATTTTTAATACTTGATGTTTATTCATAATTTATACATTCTTGTATTGGTTTATAAATTTATA